CCTTTCTTTACCTCGTGGTCGATCGCGAATGACAAATTCTTTCAAGTGCCCAGCTCGTATAAGACGCTCGATCTCGTCTTTCAAGTGTCTACAATCATCTGTATTATGTTCGTAGTCCCTATGAAATCTGCAGTATTTATTCGACCTAGTTTGGTCGGTCCCTCGAACCTGGTCGATGGCCAGGTGACTTCCTTGCTTTCCAACTTCTCCTCTATGGCCGCTAAGACTTCGCCCATCTGGGCGTTGATAGGGGTAAAATGATTATATCTCTGACCGCTTGGTAGCCGAGGTCGCCCCTGCCAGCGATCTTCTCGCCTTTCTCGGAACGAATTTTGCCCACCCCTCCTGGGCGACGACCCCTTAAAAGATCCTCCTTTTGAAGAATTTTTCCTAGGCGATCCCCTTCTGGGCAAACTTGTTTTTCCTTTCTTCTGCTCGGGCTTCACAACGTCCTCGAGCTTGGCGAATTCTGCTTCCGTTTCTTCTAAGTTAATGTATTTCTTGCATCTCTTGAGCACCTCATCGTAAGTTCGAGCAGGCGTCTTTGCCAGCGACGTTCGACATGGTCCTGGCCTTAGGCTTCTAATCAATCCTCCTGCTTTCACTTCATCACCCGCCGTGGGCACCTCCAGACACACCTGATTATATCGAGCAACATATTTTGGTAAGGATTCTTTCTCGCCTTGCCTTATTGCCATCAGGGTGAGGTATGTCTTCTCCTGGGCAACCGCGCTTCAGTATTGATTAGTGCGTTGTCCTGCGAAGTCCTCAAAGTCTCTGATCGAACCTGGAGTCAGTTGGTGGAACCAGTCAAGCGCACCTCCTCGTAAGGTCGACAAGAAGGCCCTGCAGCTGACCGGATCTGAGTATCCATGTAAGACGGACATGTTTTCGAATGCTCTCACGTGCCTCGACGGGTCACTCGATCCATCGAAAATCAGGTTTATTTCCCGAAAACTTGCAGGTAATGGCGCAGCTAGAATTTCCCTCGAGAATGGGTGTCCTCGAGCACGTCTTTCTGGCCTCCCTTCCACCTTCTCCTGCAATTGCCTCAGCTGTTCGGCCATCCTCTCTATAGCTTTGTCCCTGTACTCCCCTCCTCCGCCATAACTCGACACATCCTCCTCTTGTGTTCCTTGCACCGTTGTCGGTGCAGTGGCAGCCTGGGATGTCTGGTGAGTAGCTTGTTGCACAGCCTGCGCCGCCGCGTCGGCCACCATCCTCTGCACTTCTTCTCTCGTCATGGCCACCACTTGTTGAGCAGGGGGTTGTGGTGCTCCTCCTGTTGGCGGCACCATGGTTTGCGTTATCAGCCCTGCTTGCTGCGTCGCGACCGGGCCCGCTTGTAACGGGGCGGGGACTGTCGTGGGTACCGCTTCACGAGCCTCGTGTTCTCTGCTCGTACTTGCTCCTCCTCCCAAGATCGTTGTACCCTGGGGCATCGGCGTCGGGGTCACCGGTGTTTGCGAGGGTCCAGAGAATCCAGGTAGAGGTCCTGCTCCCATCGGTCTTGTCGTCGTCCACGCCTCGTCAAATGAAGACTGCAAATTCACTCGAGGAACTCCGTCCGCCATAGCTGAGCTCAGAACACAACTTTTCGAACAAAGTCCCACAGACGGCGCCAATAATACAAGTCTCGCACCCTGCCCGGCTGGAATTCGCCTTAAGCTTGCTCTCCTCGCCGGTTGGACGCGGAACCTGCACGAAACTCCCACACCGGAGGTGTTTTCTGGTGAATAGCCTCAAACGCTCAAGTCAGATCTTGAGAGATAATATCAGTGTATAGAAATATGTAAAGTATATCAGATTGTGTAGAAAATGAGGATTCTCGCCCTTATTTATAAGGGCGAGTTACCTGTATTGCACGCGCGAGGCGAGTGCGTTCGTCTAACCGTCCTCTGCTTGTCCGTACGGTCGCGCGCCTCCACTATCCATGATGTCAGAGAACGCGTCGCCTTTGTCAGAGAATGTCAGAGTCTTTTACGGCTGTTGACCACTCACAATGCGTCGCGTGTCCTTCTCCTCATGTGCTGGAGATTCTTCCATGTGCTCCGATGCTCTACCAGTTATGTGCGTCTATGTCTCCTTGATCGCCCTTTCTCGACCATGTGCTCAGCTGACTTGTATCTGTCGACCACCTCTGCTCTCCTTTACTGTCGTCATCTGCTCGATGTTCTAACGGCCGGTGTCTGGTCCTGT